GAGTGGTGGAGGGAGAAAGGAAGGGAGAAGAGAGGGAAAGTAGGAGGAGAGAGGCGAAGGAAGGGGAGAGAGAAAAGGAAAATGGAAAGAGAAGAGGGAAGAAGGAAAGGGAAGAGGAGAGTAAAGAAAGGAGAAGGGGCGAGGAAAGGGAAGAGATTGGCGAAGGAAGGGGAGAGAGAAAAGGGAAGGAGAAAGATAAGAGGTAAGAAGGAAAGGGAAGAGGAGAGTAATGAGAAGGAGGAAGAGGAGAGTATAGGGAAGGAAGAAGGGGAGAGTATAGGGAAGGAAGAGTAAGGGGAAGAGGAAGCTACGCGCAGGAGAGTAGCGACTAACTGAAAGCTGGTTTGAGGTTCGGGCCCGCACTCACGCACGTAAATTGGGACATTACCGATGCTGAGGAAGTTAGGGGGGGGGAGGGGGGAGGGAAGGGGGGAAACGGGGAGGGATGGAGGATGGGGAAGGGGGGGAGGGAGGAGAGGGGGAAGCGGGGAGGGATGAAGAATGGGGAAGAGGAGGGGGGGAAGGGAAGGGAGAGGATTTGCATGTTTAACTGTTAATGTGTCTGCGTGCGTATGTATTCGACTACACGCCATGCTTTACGTCGTAAAATATTACCTACTGGAGATAAAGTACGTACCCAAGTCTTAAAGAAATATATTCAAGAATATTTTAAAGAAACGAATTAGCCAACACTGCTTACAACACACACCTTTTTTTTATTCTCTCCATAAATTAAAATAACTGTATTTAGTCACATTCAAAGGTTGCTTTCCCTCGTAAATTGAAATATTGACATTTAATCACTTTCAAATGTTTATTTCAACGGTTAATTCAAACGAGATCCACATTCATTCACTCTCTTGGAGTTTATTTTCACAGTAAATTCAAACAAGTTCCACATTCAGTCTCACTGAAAAGTTTTATTTTCACCGTACATTATAACATCCATATTTAATCACAGTCACAGTTCTATATTCCCCATAAATTATCATAACCAAAAACTTTTTTTTCCCTTAAATTCAAACGATATCCACATTTAATCATACCCAAAAGTTTATTTTCCCCACATTTAAACTCGGCTAAAAGTTTGTTTTACCCACATTCAGTCTCGCCAAAGAGTTTATTTTCACCGTGAATGCCACCCAAAGGTTTATTTTCCCCACATTCAATCCTAAATGTTTATTTTCACCGTGAATAACACCCAAAAGTTTATTTTCCCCACATTCAATCCCAAAAGTTTATTTTCCCCACATTCAATCCCAAAAGTTTATTTTCCCCATATTCAGTCTCACCCGAAAGTTTATTTTCACCGTAAATACCACCCAAAAGTCTATTTCCCCCCCGCATTCAATCTCAAAAGTCAATTTTCACCGCACATGCCACCCATACAGCTACCAGCGGGGCGAAAACGTCGATAGAAATCTTCGGCGTGTCAGAGTGTCACAGCGAACTGCGGTCGGCGTTTCTTTTCCTTCGCCGCAAGAAGGCAGGGCGCAGGTGTTTGTAGGGGAGGAGTGGGAGGGGGGAGGGGAGGGAGAGCATGTCTACTCATGTCGCTGTTTGGTTGTTTGTTTGTTTGTTGTTTTTGTTCATGTCTTTTAGTTTATTTATTTGATTATTCTTATTTATTTATTCTTTTTTTTGAGGGAGGGAGTGGGGGTTGATTGGTGGAGTTTCTTTTTTTTTGGGGGGAGGAGGGAGTAGTTTGTTGTTTTGTTTTTGTGTGTTTTGATATCGTATATATTTATCTTTTTTTTTTTACGTTTTGCGTTTTTAAGGTTTATGTTTAATTACGTTTTTTTTGTTCATGTAATTGATATTTTCCTCATTCTTCTTTTCATTATTTTTCTTCTTCCGAACGCATAGTGTTGGTAAATGCTATAAACGACGACTTTGGAAGCGTGTATTCATTGTCATCCCCTTTCCCCTTCCTCCTCTCCCTTCCCCATTCCTACTTTTTCTTTTCCTCTTCCCTCTTCCCCTCTCTGTCTCTGTCTTCTCATCCCCTCTCCACTTCTCTTTTCCTTTTGTTTTCTTCATCTCTTCCCCCATTTTCCTGTTTCCCCATTTGCTTTCTCCTTTTTTTCCTCTCCTCTCTGCGTTTCCCCCTTCCCCTCATTCCCTCTCCCCTTCCACCTAATACCTCCCTTTCCCTCTTGCCCTCCTTTATTTCCCTCTCTCCCTCCCCTCTCTCTATTCCCTCTCCCTCTTCCTTTCCTCCTTCCTTCCCTTCATCCCTTAGAGAGCAGAGAAACTTTCTTCTTCGGGAGGATTATTAAGGACATGTCAAGACGCTTTTCTTAAGCAGGAAACCCAGCCTAATTACAATGATTTCGTTACACAAGCTAGGGAATGCGTCAGTCAAAAGCCGGCAGGGGGTAGAGGGGGTAGGGGGAGGAGGGGTAGGTGGGTAGGAGGGGGTAGGAGGGTAGGGGGGTAGAGGTGGAGGAGGAGGGGATAGGTGGGTAGGAGGGGGTAGGTGGGTAGGAGGGGGTAGGTGGGTAGGAGGGGGTAGGTGGGTAGGAGGGGGTAGGTGGGTAGGAGGGGGTAGGTGGGTAGGAGGGGGTAGGTGGGTAGGAGGGGGTAGGTGGGTAGGAGGGGGTAGGTGGGTAGGAGGGGGTAGGTGGGTAGGAGGGGGTAGGTGGGTAGGAGGGGGTAGGTGGGTAGGAGGGGGTAGGTGGGTAGGAGGGGGTAGGTGGGTAGGAGGGGGTAGGTGGGTAGGAGGGGGTAGGTGGGTAGGAGGGGGTAGGTGGGTAGGAGGGGGTAGGTGGGTAGGAGGGGGTAGGTGGGTAGGAGGGGGTAGGTGGGTAGGAGGGGGTAGGTGGGTAGGAGGGGGTAGGTGGGTAGGAGGGGGTAGGTGGGTAGGAGGGGAAGGATTTTGTGTGTTTTGATATCGTTTTTTATTTATTTATTTATTTATTTATTTATTTATTTATTTATTTATTTATTTATTTATTTATTTATTTATTTATTTATTTATTTATTTATTTATTTATTTATTTATTTATTTATTTATTTATTTATTTATTTATTTATTTATTTATTTATTTATTTATTTATTTATTTATTTATTTATTTATTTATTTATTTATTTATTTATTTATTTATTTATTTATTTATTTATTTATTTATTTATTTATTTATTTATTTATTTATTTATTTATTTATTTATTTATTTATTTATTTATTTATTTATTTATTTATTTATTTATTTATTTATTTATTTATTTATTTATTTATTTATTTATTTATTTATTTATTTATTTATTTATTTATTTATTTATTTATTTATTTATTTATTTATTTATTTATTTATTTATTTATTTATTTATTTATTTATTTATTTATTTATTTATTTATTTATTTATTTATTTATTTATTTATTTATTTATTTATTTATTTATTTATTTATTTATTTATTTATTTATTTATTTATTTATTTATTTATTTATTTATTTATTTATTTATTTATTTATTTATTTATTTATTTATTTATTTATTTATTTATTTATTTATTTATTTATTTATTTATTTATTTATTTATTTATTTATTTATTTATTTATTTATTTATTTATTTATTTATTTATTTATTTATTTATTTATTTATTTATTTATTTATTTATTTATTTATTTATTTATTTATTTATTTATTTATTTATTTATTTATTTATTTATTTATTTATTTATTTATTTATTTATTTATTTATTTATTTATTTATTTATTTATTTATTTATTTATTTATTTATTTATTTATTTATTTATTTATTTATTTATTTATTTATTTATTTATTTATTTATTTATTTATTTATTTATTTATTTATTTATTTATTTATTTATTTATTTATTTATTTATTTATTTATTTATTTATTTATTTATTTATTTATTTATTTATTTATTTATTTATTTATTTATTTATTTATTTATTTATTTATTTATTTATTTATTTATTTATTTATTTATTTATTTATTTATTTATTTATTTATTTATTTATTTATTTATTTATTTATTTATTTATTTATTTATTTATTTATTTATTTATTTATTTATTTATTTATTTATTTATTTATTTATTTATTTATTTATTTATTTATTTATTTATTTATTTATTTATTTATTTATTTATTTATTTATTTATTTATTTATTTATTTATTTATTTATTTATTTATTTATTTATTTATTTATTTATTTATTTATTTATTTATTTATTTATTTATTTATTTATTTATTTATTTATTTATTTATTTATTTATTTATTTATTTATTTATTTATTTATTTATTTATTTATTTATTTATTTATTTATTTATTTATTTATTTATTTATTTATTTATTTATTTATTTATTTATTTATTTATTTATTTATTTATTTATTTATTTATTTATTTATTTATTTATTTATTTATTTATTTATTTATTTATTTATTTATTTATTTATTTATTTATTTATTTATTTATTTATTTATTTATTTATTTATTTATTTATTTATTTATTTATTTATTTATTTATGAAAAGGATGGATTATCGTCTTAATAAGTTCCTACGCCGGCTCGCATGTCATATAAGAAGCCTAGATAGGTTGGCAGATGGCGCGGAAGGGGATGGAAGAGAAGGAGGGGAAATCAGGAAAAAAAGAATGAAGACTAGGAGGAAGAGGAAGAGGAGGTGGGAGGGCGAAGAAAGCCGAAAGAAGAGTAGCAGAGGAGAAGTATCAGAAGAAGGGAGAAAGAGGAAGAGAGGGGGGGGAGTTAAGATGGAGCAGAGAAAGGGAGAAAGAGGAGGAAGGAGATTTCAAAAAGAGCAGAAGAAAGAGAAAGGGAGGAGGGAAGTCAAGATGGAGCAGAGAGGAAGAGAGGAGGCAAGAAGGAGCCACAAGAAGCGGCGAAGGAAACACAGAATTAAGAGAAAGTCTCGGCGCGGCCCGGAGTGCCTCGAGGCTGGCTGGGAGATCGGCGGCGGCGGCAGAGTGGAGTTCGCGTCTCAGTGTGTGTCTTCTTGTCGGAGGAAGAGGACCGTTCGGTGACGCTCTGCTGGTTCCTCACTGGACCCATTCCCGCCGACGCCTCCACGCTTTTATTTTTTTTTCTATTTTTTCTATTTTACTCAAATTGTTTTACGTGGAATTTTTAGAACTGGATGCGCAATGATGATATTAATAGTTTTACTGGGATGAATATACACAGAAAGGATATATTCATGATCGGTGAATATCATGAGCTGAAAAATTGGAATATTAAATGTGAAAACTCGATCAAGTGTTGTTGTTGTTGTTGTTATATGTAAATAGATATATCTCTTCGTCAACCCAACACGGAATGACTTCAACGCGCACGTAGAAAACAATCCTCATAGTGTCAAAAGTATAAATAATTTAATCCTTCATTAAAACCTCTGGTCGTGGATTTAACATTGCCAAGATGATGAACGCTTCGAGCACATTGCAGTACCTGAAGAAACCTTTCTTCTGGAAGCTGGGATACCTCAAGCTCAACAAGAAAGCCAAAATAGTAAGTAGAGAAATTTGATGGGAGGAAAAAAGAATAGATAAATGGATGGGATAGATAATTTCAGTATGACAGGTTTTCATTTTTTATTTAGTGTATAAAATGTGTAATTAAGTGGGGGATTACTAATCACATTTGTTTTTATCTGCCAAAGTAACTTTAAAAGTAAAATGAATATCGTTTCTTACAGTTTATGTCATTACCATTTTTTTCTTTTGCATCCAGGTATGTGAATGATGTCCTGATTAAAACAGTAAACTAAAAAAAAGAAAATAAATCAAGTTGCATCTTTTAGAGTAACCTTCAACCCTGTTCCTTGTATGGTCAGGTCAGCGTAGCAGTTACTTCGCGTTGCAACATTGAGTGCGAAGGGAAAGGAGGTTGAAGGCCTTGCAATATAGTAATGGGAGCGTGCCATGAAAATATTGAAGGGTTTGCTTGTGAAAGTCTTATTACAAATGCAGAATTTAAATGAGTTTAGGCCTGTAGAGTAATGAGACCATCACATGTGGACATCGAGGGGTCTTTGGTGAAAGTTTTGTGCCTCAAAAGTACAAATTTGGAGTGAGTTTAGGTCTATATAGCGAAGAAATCCGTGTCATAGGAATACATATTTTCTAGATAGGCCTAGTTCACGTTTTATCCCAGTAATGTTTACGAGTCAAAGACAGGTGCGTGATGTTGTTGCCATGTCCCATTCATCGCTCACCTGTGCCCGAGAGCGTGCACCTGATACCTTGCCTTTTACCCCTCCCCCTCCTCACCCACCTAACCCACTCATCCACTACCCGCCCACCAACCCAGTACCAACCCACCTCACTCCCACCCCCCCATCCTAGCTCTCAGTCTAACCCGCTGGACAAACTTGACATCTTTTTGACTCCCATGAAGCCGCCCCGTTCACTTTCTGTTTAGACTTCGAACCTTTGAACCTTAGCCTACAGCTGTTGGGGAAATGACCGTAGACAGAGTACAGATGCTAAGTTCATGGTGGCTTTAGTCTAGGATGTTAATTTTCCCTTCGTTTAGTCTGTCGTTAATTCCCTAGGGTGCTGGATAATTGTTTTGTGATGACAGGTGGGTATGCTTAACGAGTGAGTTTTTCGTGGTTGTCGTAGGTATATATTACGTATCTTGAATATATGCGTAACGTTATATATACAGTATAGATGTAGACAGTAGATGGATATAGATGTAGATAGACAAACAGATGGATAGATGAGGATTTAGATATACAGACATGTAGATAAAGATTTAGATATACAGACATATAGATAAAGATTTAGATATACAGACAGATAGATAGATATAGTATGAATAGACAGACAGTCGAAATGTTATTGTTGTCTGGAGATATTTAAACTGTATTTTTGGACATCAGAGTTATCCATGAGCGGTGATCAAAACGCTATTTTTAACAGTTTTAGTAACTTGGAAATGTTAAGAAACGGTATTCTGACAATTATAGATACCTGGACGTATTAAAAACGGAACTTTTAGTAATATCAGGTAATTGCCAGATACGATTTTTTATTTATCTTCTTTTTCTTCTTCTTCTAATTCTTCTGATTCCTCTAGTTCTTCATCTTCTTTCCCTTCCTTTTCTTTATATATCTTTACCGTAATTTCAGTTAACTGTCAGATATGATTCTTCTTTTTCTTCTTCTTTTTCTTCTTCTTTTTCTTCCTCCTTTTCTTTTTCTTTCTTTCTTTTTCTTTTACCAACCACGTTCACGGGAAAGATGATGACGTCATGAATCGCTGACAACTTGTAATACGTTTTTTTTTTTTTTTTTTTTTTCTTCCCCGTTTCTCATGCACGGTCTCCAAACGCGTCGATCTAGCATGCAAGACGTTATGCGACAGAACAGTAACATAGTAATTACGATGAGCTGTGGGAGGGTTTGAATGTGGGTTAGGCGTGGAGAGGGAGGGGTGGGTGGGGGGTGGGGAGGGGGTGGAATGTGGTAGTGTGTGGTGGTGTGGAGAATGGGCTTTGGTGGGTGGAATGTGGTGGTGTGGAGAGTGAGTAGGGGTGGGTGGAGTGTGGTGGTGTGGAGAGTGGGTGTGGGTGGGTGGAATGTGGTTGTGGGTTATGTGTGGAGAGTGGGTGTGGGTGGGTGGAATGTGGTGGATCATGTGTGGAGAGTGGGCGTGGTTGGGTGGAATGTGGTGGAGTGGGTTATGTGTGGAGGATAAATAGAACGTCTTAACACACAAACCACCTGTTTGTGTGTTAAGAGTGGGCGTGGGTGGGTGGAGTGTGGTGGTTGGTGGAATGTGATGGAATGTGGTTGTGGGTTATGTGTGGAGAGTGGACGTGGGTAGGTGGAATGTGGTGGTGGATTATGTGTGGAGAATGTTTAGAATATGGTGGTGGGTTAGATGTTAAGTGTGGATGTGGGTGGATGGTTTATGAGTGGAATGGATAACAGGTAATATGCAGAAAGTGGATGTCGGTGGATGATGAGTGGCTGGTGAGTTGGTGGGTCATATGTCGATTGTGGGTGGATATTCGCGTGGGTGAAGTGGGTAGTGGGTTATCTATATAGAATATGTAGAGAGAGAGAGAGAGAGAGAGAGAGGGAGAGAGTCCATAGTGTGGGCGGTGGGTCATATGTAGAGAGTGGGGGGGTCGGGTGGATGAAAGGCGAAGTCCGCAGAGTGGATGAGAAGGCAGATTAGTAGCAAATGACAGAGAGGGTGGGTAAAGTGGGCGTCGTGGGCGTCATGGGTGTCATTTGGTGTGAACATGGAGTGGACGTCAGCTTGGGGGGAGGGCAGGGTGTCAGTGGGTGGGCGGGGGTGGGCGGGGGTGGGGTGGGTTCGTGCTGACCAGTAAGTGGGTCGTATTTGTGAGCTCGTCAACATCGACTGTAATGATTTATATTTACAGTGTGTGTGTGTTTGTGTGTATGTGTGTGTGTGTGTGTGTGTGTTTTGTGACTGTTACCGGCTTGTCATTTTAGAGGTTTCGGGTCATTGGTGTTGTGATGGGGATGTTCTCTAGATGTGTTACTTATTTGGATTTGTCTTGTGATTATAAATATTGTCATTATCATTTTTGTTTTCGTAGTTATCATCATCATTATTATCATAATTGTTGTTTGCTGTTTAGTGCTGTTGTTGTCGTCGTCATAATCATCATCACCACCATTATCATCATCATCTTCATCATCACCACCACCACCATCATCATCATCATCATCATCATCATCATCATTATCATCATCATCATCGCCACCATCACCATGATCATCATCATCATCATCATCACCATCATCATCATCATCATCACCACCACCGTCACCATGATGATCATCATAATCATTATCACCATCATCAATATCAATCATTATTACGGTCGATAATCTACCGTCATATCAGAAGTTTAAATGTCAACCACCGTTTTCTCAATATAGACAACGAATTGCATTAAAATACTTAATATATTTTTTGTTACTAATTTCGTAACGTTTCTGAAGATCTTGTTTGTGTGAGTTTGATCTTTTGTTTCGTCACGACATCAGGTCATCGTTTTACTTAGTTTGTGTTCACGTAAATTTTACATGTCGAGGAGTTCATTTGGAGTTTCTAAAATAAGTTCAGTGAAAAAAAATATATAGAAATTGATGAACACATAGAGAAATTGCTAGATTGATGGAAGATTAAAAATTGACTTTTAATTGTGTCTAGTTTAAGATATGGTTTATAAACTTGTGATAGATGAAGAAGAGAGACATTCATTTAGTTCGAAAATATTTTGATGTGATTTTAATTGTATTGTTCTCATTTTATCATTTATCTCATTTCATGATTAAATACTTGTGGTCTTCATAATCTGTTTTCATTGTTATTTGCATTTTTATCATTCCTTCGTATTTGCAATTCTTTGAAAAAATATATATGATTGTTTATGGCGATTCACGAACAGCCGATGACCGTCGCGTCATATAGGCTTATAATTACATTTTGTATTACCGTTTTCTTTAAATCAATCCTCCCTGTTTATAAATCTCAAATATCTAGTAAAGTTATTCCCCTCGTCGACGAAGATTCACAAACTGAAGGCCTTCGTGTCATAAGATAATCTCACGAAGAGTGGGTATGACACGAAAGAAGGGGGCGTGGCTTGCGATACCGGCACCTGGCACGGAGGAAACAGCGTCAGAAATTCTCCATCGTTACGCGCCTCGGCTCCGTCATTTTATTTGCCACAATAACTCATAATTTTAGTGTATCTGGGCGATGGGGGACGGGAAGGGGAGGAAGGGAGGGAGGGAGGAAGGGAGGGAGGTGAGGGGTGTGGGAGGGTATATTCATCTCTGTGATTACGAGCTCCGACGGTTTACTGTTTACGTGATATGATGAAGTGTTGGGGGGGGGGGGGTATGCCTCGTGATTATATTTTTGTGTGTCGGGGGATTGTGTTTAGGAGTTCCCATGCCTCTCCGTCGGTAGAGGAAATGATTGGCTGTTTTCAGGGTGTAGGGGGGGAGGGGGAGGGGGGGTGGCTGTCACTATTACTGTTCCAACGTGCTGACTGATTGCTGACAGGGTTTCATCGGCTGTCTGTTTGTTTGTTAAATGGTTTGTGTGTGTGTGTGTGTTTTTGTGCGAGGTGTTGGGTTTATTTTCCGTTGAAGTATTTCGAGAAAATGTTTGTGTTTTATTTTTCATCCGCTGGTGGCTTTTTTCATGGGCTATTTGTCACCGATCCAACTTTAAGAAATGTGTTTTCCCGAGTTGCTATCCTTTGTTAATAATTGTATTATTTTTTTCTCTATTTTATATTCAGTGTTTTTTTTTTTTTTTTTTTTTTTTTTTATTCCGTGTTTTTTATATTCAGTTTTTTTCAGTTCTTCTCGCTTTTTTCTCAATTTGTTTCTAATATGGATTATTTTGCCTATTCAGCATTTTCAATATAGTTCGACACCCACGCTTATTCCCTTTTTTATCCTCATCCTTTATCTATCTGTCTATCGAAACTCCTATTATATATA